ATGGGATTTGGGCAATCCCAGTTACTTTAGCAATTGCAACAGAAGATCAACAACATAGAGCTATCGCCATTAACAGTGGACATTATAAACACAAACCGATTGAAGGGGTTTGCATCATCATGATCAAAATGCCACAATCAACATCCGCAAGGAACGGTGCAGCCACTACACGTTCCAAATCACATGATGAAGCATTGAATATGGGCCAAGCAAAACCAACCTTCACCGATTATTTCTTGCTCGAACCAAAGTTCTAACCATGCAATGAAAGATTATATACAAAGCACGTAGAGCAAAATGAGCCTTTGGAAGACAGCTTGAAAAATCCTTCACAAAAGGCAAAAGATCCAAAAGGATAACAAAATCCCTGGTACTTCATCAAACATGAGTCACAACTAGACATTTAAAAGTCGGACTCGCATGTGTCTCCGCAACATAGTAAGCCAAGGTCAAAAAAGATGCGGATCGTACCGAGCTCACCTTCCCTCAAGTCGGTACATTAATAGAAACTTCAGGTGCAATTAAGAACCACAGACTGAAATAATCTAGTTAGACCAAAGAGGTCAAATGAAATAAGAGCTTGAGAAGTCCATTCTCTTAAAGAAGAAAAAATGGAAACTCCTAATAGCAAACATTGTTATGAAGGCAAGGCTTGGGTGGCATGACCCAGACCAAACAAAACGATACAAGCTGAAATAAGAATCGACGTCCATTTATAAATGATATGCCTAAGCTCTTGAGTTAAGATGACTGATGCTATATCACCTCAGGGGAGTACCTCCCATATGTAAACATGATTGAGCTTTTCAAACTATGTCTTTAGCGGAGTACCTCCGGCAAATGAATAAGATTGAGCTTCAGAGCTAACCTTTTTGTGAAGTACCTACCACGTGAAAGATATCTAACAGCGGAGTACCTCCCGCGAATGAATAAGATTGAGCTTTAGAACTAATCTTTTTGTGGAGTACCTACCATAGGAAAGATGTATAATGGTGGAGTACCTCCCGCAAGTAAATAAGATTAAGCCATAAAGCTAAATTTTGTGGAGTACCTGCCACATCAAAGACCCGAGAAGACTCGGGCATAGGCCAACCTACTGCTAAGGCATGGATGAAAAAATCCTGACAGAGGCAGGGACCTAGCTCAGGTGCAGCCATCCGATCAAACTTAGGCATATTGCTAGGCAGGACGGTGTAAGTCAAATGGGTAAAGTTTGAAGACCGATTAGATCAGCGGATCGGTGCAAAGGTCACAATAAGTGACCAAGAACTCATGCTCGAACCTTTCAACGAGGCAGGTCCTCTTGGCTAGGGGAAGGGAGCACCAAAAAGACCTTTTTATGAGGAACAATACAAGGCAAATAATGAAAGAAAGGATTATAAACAGAGAATATCTCTCATTGTGCCACATGAAAAATATTCTCTAGGGGCAAATGAAGGGGTCGAAAAATTCTAATCATCATCTAACAATTAGACTTGGACATGTGGCAGGTTGCACATGCTGAAAAGAGTTATTATTGCACATGTTGAAAAGAGTTATTATTGCACATGTTGAAAAGAGTTATTATTGCAATGACTTTACTATGACCGAGCTAAAGTTGGTTTTGACAGAGCAATTAGCTAGGCTTTTCGCGCCTAGCAGAGCAAGCAGGTAGGCTTTCCGCACCTAGCAGAGCAAGGAGCTAGGCTTTTTGCGCCTAGCAAAACAAGAAGCTAGGCTTTTCGCTAAAATTTGTCCGACCTAGTAGAGAATAAAACTCGACCGAACAGACAGCTAGGTTGTCCCGAACGAGCAGAGGATGAGATCCGACCAAGTTGTTATCAAATAGCAACCAAGCTGATCAGAAATCTCTGAAAATGAAGGAATAAGCTTGGTCCTCGTCATGACCGAGCTGTTTAAAACATTAACGTGGTGCTAAAAAGATGCCTACAATTCAGGCATTCTGTTTAAACGAATGAGCATGATCATAGACTCAGTATAAGGAATTATAGAGGAAGTATCAGTAACTTTTCAAACTCAACTACTAAATTGGAGGAAGGTGTGCTACCTTGAACCTAAATTCATGGAAACCCTAAGGGGATAATGATCTATAAAAGGCAGAAGAAACCAAGGTGAAAGGTACGCTGAACTTTCCTTGTCTTCGTTCAATTTCTTCTGCTCTATTACTGACTTAAGTATCGGAGTGCCTTCGATCTTGGGCAGTTTGTTCATTTTGCAGGAAAGAGATAAGGAGGCTGTTCAAAATTCTTTCCCATAAATTTACATCTCGAATTGATTGTTAGAGGTATTATCAATTTTTTTCCTCTACAATTGGGACCAATATAAAATAGAATAAATCCTTATCCTACAATTTTATTAGCCATTAGACTTTGAGTGGATAGTTGTATTATTTTATTGAAAATGATATATTAATAAAACTTCTATAGAAAATATAATTAGTATTTTCACATCCCCAAAAAATGTTAAAATTTTAAAAGTAAACCTATGTTAATGGTTTGCATAGTTATATGTTATTATCTATATTATCATGCTATAAAAAATTTTTCCCGAAAAATATTATCACGGTATAAATTGACAAGGCTTCATCCAAAAAATCTGTCTTATATATTACGATTAGTCGCCCAATTTCGCCACTAACAATTGACCAAGTCTGGGGAATACGTAGCTAAAAAAATAGACACCAACCATAATTTTTATAACAAGGCGTAAAATTAGTCTTGAGTTCTTTTATATGTCTTAGGGATCAAGGACTTAAATATTTTTTTAGTTTGCTGATGTATGTTGTGGTGTGTGCATTTGTGTGTGTGATGCATGCTGTGGTATGAGAGAAGTGACAGAAGAGAAGAGAAAGAGAAAAGAAGAGGGGGGAGAGAAAGAGACTAACCTAAGAGTGAGTCGTTGGAGTTTCACCAGAGTTCAATGCTGCACAGAGAGAGAGACAAGAGAGAAATGGGGAGAGGGTGAGAGAAATTTGGTGTGTGTGTATGGGGGAGGGGGCGTGTTAGCGCATAGAAGGGAGGAGGCTAATAAAGAGTGGGGGTATGTCAACAACCTGCGTGTGTTTATCAGGCTTGCATGTGTTAGGGGCTGTGTGTCAGGGACTGTTGAGAGAGTTGGCGTGATGAGCAGAAAAATGTGAAGGGGATAAACTTTCAAAGTGCTAGTTGTTTTATTATGTGTGTGTGTGTGTGTTTATCTTAATTATAATTTTTTTTTTCAAATTAGGACTCAATTTTTAATCTCTTAAATTTAAGAAACTTCTTATCTCATAAGCATGATTCAAAAAATAAGGAAACTATCAAATATAATATGCATGAATTAAGGTAAGGACAATTAGGTAATATAAAAATACTAGTTATTGACTGTGCCTAAAGGCACAGAATAATAAAAAAAAGATCAATAATAAATATATTTATTCACACCTAAAATCAAATTACAAACATAGAGTAAAGAAAAGAATTTAAGCACCGATTGTAGTGAGAGTGAACGATGGTTGCGGTGGTGGTAGGAAACGGTGATGGTGGTGGTGGGTGGCAACGACTATCGTGATGGTGGCAGTCATTGGTGGCAATAGTGATGCTGGTGGTGGATTTTTGGTGATGATGGTTGTAGTGACAATCATGGATGACGGCGATAATGGTTGTGGGCGATGATGATGGTGATAGTGGTTGACAATGGTGGTGGTGAGGCGACGACAGTGGTGGGTTGTGGTGGTGGGCAGTGGTGATGGGGGTGGTGGGGCGACGACAAGTGTTTTTAGATGACAGTATGATGGGTTGTGGTAAATAGCGGTGGTGATGGTGGTGGTAAATTTGATGGAGGTTGGTGACAGTGATTGACAGCGATGGCGGGCAATGATAGGGATGGGTGCCAGTGACTGACAGCAATGGTGGACAATGATGGGTGGTGGTGGGTTGTGATAGTGGAAGGCGATGGGTGGTGGTGAGTAACAATGGTAAAGGTGGGTGTTGACAGTGGGTGTTGACGGTGATAATTATAATAAATATAAGAATGAGATGAAAATTGTGGTGGGTGGTAGCGGTGGACGACGATAATAACAATCACGCCGCGATGGCAATGGTGGTGCGGCGACGATAACGACGGGGGCGGTGGGGGTGGGATGGCGAAAGTAGTGGTGGCAAAGGTGACAATGACAGTGGAGGGGTTGGTGATGGTGGTGGTAGAGTGGCAGCATCGGTGGTGGTGGTGGGGTGGCGATAATGGTGGTGGCAACGACAGTGGTGGAGGTGGTGATGGGGTGGCGGTGGTAATGGTGATGGTGATGGGGCGGTGGGGGTGGTAGTGGTGGAGTGATTCTAAAAATTATATATTTTTTTTAAAGTATTCAGAAGTAGTTATAAATTTTATAAGTACTTTTAAAAAGTCACTCCAAACATACCTTTAGAGGACTATTTTCCATATTAATTTTGAGGTGTTAATATTAGTCATCGGATTAACTTTAGAGTAAAATTTAAAAAGATCTCAACCGCAAAAATTAAAAGTCATTTTTTTTATTTTTTGAGATTTGAATTGTATTGTACATTATTATATAGATATTAACTATAAATGTGTACCTGCTCACCAAATATTTAGGAGAATAATGACTTAAAGACCGAAAAATTTAAGCTATGTATTTTAAGATAAATAAGTTATCTAAAATTTACCGCTTGCCAATTTTTCCAAAAACAATTATCAAAAATTTGAGATAGGCTAGGGGTGAATTCGTAATCTACTACTAAAATACTATCATTTTAAAAAAAAATAATAATCTACCGTACTTTTAAACTTATTTACTGATCTACTGTAATTTTTGAAAGCGAAATCAACAATAATACTTTTAATACTTACAAAAATATTTTTTTTTCTCTTTTTGTTGTATCACTTGTTAAAAGTGGAATTGTGTTGAAAGCGGAATCAACAATTCTACATTAAAAAACTGTAATAGATCGATAAATAAGTTTAAAAGTGCGATAATTTGGTATTTTGTTTAGAAATGACAGTATTTTGGTTATATATCCCATGAATCCGCCCATGGTGACACTGACATAGATAGTCACATTGGACTGAGCTTCCGATTTTCATTTCTTAGTTCAAAGGAGAATCCAGGAGTGAAGAACCCAACGGCCATGGAGATTGATGCTATGTTCTCACATTACTTAGTCTCATGGTTCAAGATTGCAGTCGCACCAAACAGAATTTCGATTCAAACAAACATGGTAACATAATGTTTCTCCCTCCATTACTACCACCAAAACCTTCCATTAACCGCAAATCTATAACTTCATCTCTTGCTCTCTTCTTCACACTTCCAGACCCACCTTAACCAAACCAACGCCCACAACCTGCACTCGAAGAACACCACCAAACTAAGACCAAAGCCAATAGGTGCTACTGGACCAAAAAGATCCACAAGCTTTGTGTCATCGACCGCAATGTCGACTAGGCCCTTGACCTTCTTGACCATCTTCGTCTTAGCGGTTACCACCCGACTCCCTCAACATCGGCTGCATAATTCACGCACTGTGCGACGCCCACCGTTTCTCCGAAGCTCACAATCGTTTTGATCTCTCTCTTACTTTGAATTGCATACCCGATGAGCGCACATGCAACGTACTCATCGCTTGGTTACTGGATGACAAAACGGACTTCATCGTTGGATTCATCTCGCGAAATCTAGCTACCTTGTCAAATTTCATCTAATCCCGAGATAGTCAGATTTTTTGCGTTTTTTCGAGGCGTTCGAGTCTCGGGTGACCCAAAAACTGAATTTTTAATAAAATATTAAAATTTGGAGAATAATTTAAGGCAAATTAAAATAAAAATATTTTAAACTTGAACCGAGACGAAATTGAATCGTTTCGGGGTTAAAACAGACTCGAAAAAAATAAGGTTGTGTGTTCAATTGTGGGCCAAGTATTCTAAGGCTATAACTGGGAGGAAAATCAATTTTTTCCTCATTCTTTAGCCGGTCTCCAACGTTGAGAGATAGAGAGGGAAAGTGAGAGAAAAACCCACCTTCTCTTTATGATCTACCAAGATTGAGTGATCAAATCAACACGGGTCAAAAGAGAAAGTCGTTCTCCTCGACATGGGCTACAAGACTATACCAAAAATCGAAGATTTCACCGAAGTTCCAAAATCAAACATGGAGAAATCAAGGGTTTTGGGCAGGATTGGGGTTCTTGAAGGCTTCTACCAAGTGGCTTACGCTTCAAGAGGTAGGGTTTATTCCTACTTAGGTTTATTTTACAATCTAGAATGTTTATATGTAATGGGTAGGTTGATTAAATGATATATCACTTACCTATGTTGTGAAATTGACGAAATGAGCATGAACATGAGTATATAAATGGTTTAAAATAAATTCTTAGCTTGGAAATGATATGTGGTGATTACTTGTGTAATTCCATGAAAATGTGATTGTGGGCATGCTATGTGGTTAAATTATGCCTTGGTGAATGAAGTGTGTTATTGGCATATATTATATAATAACATGCTTGTGATTGTTGTTAGAAAACAAAATGTGGATATATGTTTATTGATGTGTTAACATTGTGATAAAGTTGGTAATTATATGCATGAGATATAAATTGTCATGAAATATGTATATGTGTGTTTAAAGTTGCTCATATGACATTAATTACATATGGGGCATGACATTGTTATAGCAATTGTACATTACATTGAATATGCACGAAAACATCGCAATTTATGGGTGTGAGTGCATGGTTGACATTAACACCACGTAGGTGGATGATGAATGAACTCGGGAAAGTTAGATCGAAGATCCGGCTGAGTCGCACGTTGCATGAAAAAGAATTAGGTCGGGGTTAGTAAGAAGGGCTAGACAATCCTTCAGGTGAGAGACTCAGTGATTCGGATACACACTTCCGTTAGTATAAGAGCCCATAAAGTGTGTCGGTGTACACGGAACCGTTGGTGAACGTCCATAAATTCCGTGTCGGTTGGGTGACCGTTGGTGTAAGTCCATAAACACCCACCCCAAGAAAGACCCGAAAATTTTACAATAGTTATTGGGCGTAAAAGACCAATGGCAGGGGCGTGGAAAGCCCAGTTTTATACTCATGGCATTGCATGGGGGAAAGGAGCCAGAGAGGGCTCGGGTTGAGTTGCATTAATGGGTATCATCTCATATCATGACACGACATGTTAGATTCCAACATAGAATTGCTAAATCTTGATTGAAATGGTTGTTGTTGTTAAATATTGCATGTGAACATTGTATATGCACTTAGGTTGGGGAGTAGCCTCTGTACGAAATACTTTATTGGGCATGGCTCACCCTATACGGAAAAATATTTTAGGTGCGGGTTACACTCCGGTGAATGACTCTCATTCGGGGCCCCAAGGATGAAGAAAAGCCGACTTGTGGCTTTTGAAACAAATTTTGTAATACAATTGTGGAAATTCCATTTTGGTATGTAATTTTATGAAAATCGTATGTAATTAATTGTAATGGACTTGTATAAATGAGATTTTATATGAAAAACTTCATTATGCATGTTTTGGATGAAAATGAGATGGTTTGAAATGGATTGGAAATGAAAAGCATGTGTAATAGGCAAAATTGGGCAGAGAGTACCGGTACTATGTATCAGAACAGTCGGGTCCAGCAGGCAGACAGTACCGATACAGTCCAGACAGTACCGGTATTGCCAAGTCTAGTGAGCACACAGTACCGGTACTCTTTCTAAAATGTTGAAAAATTTAAAATTGTTTTAGTATGCTTTTGGATTTTGGTTTCCTTAATACCAATGATACAAATAGACATTAAATAAGATATGTTGGGGTATATTGAACCTCAATTGTATTAAATAATTAAAGGAACACGAGTTATACGTATGAGTTACAATCCTAGTTAAGGGGATGTTTTTGACGTGATGTCGAGATGTGTGATAATCGCGGGTATTTTTCGCGGGTTGACGAGTGATCAACGGTTAACAAATGACTCCCAGTTTTAAGGGCGTCACAAACTTGGGTGAGATCAGTTCGTTATAGAGAGGTTCACGCCTACACCGTAGTTTCTCTCGAATTGTTTTATTTTGGGAAAAGAACGTCGGAAAACTCTGTGCTAAAGGGACCTATCTCTTCTTAGGACAATGTTCATCTCGCGCCTCAATCCTGGCTATTCTAAACTTATTTTTGATCTAAGTTCCATTGAGTTATTTGATATATTTGCATCTATATGAATCTGTGATTTTATTTATATTTATTTTTTCTAACAATCTAAGAAGAGATACGATTATGTTTAAAATAACGTAGGAATTTTTATCTATTTCTCTTGTTTGGAATATGAGCACTATTGAATCTAATTCTTACAAACCTGAGAAGTTCAACGGTCAACACTTTAGAATATGGTAACAACAAATAAAATTTTGGTTGACTACTTTGGGTTTAATATCTGTCGTTGAAAAACTTGCTCAACCTGAGAAAAATAGACATACCCAAGTCTAGACTAATGAAACAACTACTGGTGATGAAACTAGTACAAGTTTAGTCCCTGAAAAGTCAACAAAATCAACTTCTGATATAGAAAAAGACTACTTTTGTCATGGTAGAATTTTTAGTGCACTTGCTGAACCTATCTATGATATTTTTTGCACTACCAAATCAGCACTTGAACTTTGGGAAACTTTAGATAAAAAAAAATATGGCACTGAAGATGCTGGACTAGAGAGGTACTATACTGAAAAATTCTTTGATTTTCAAATGATAGATGGAAAATCTGTGATGGATCAAGTCCATGAGTTTCAAAACATAATCCATGGATTAAAGATGAAGGGCATGAATTTTCAAGAAAATATTCTTGTTGTTGGGTTAATTAAAAAATTACCTCCTTCGTGGTCTGAATTTGGTAGAATGCTTAAACAAAAGTCTTAAAGATTCTCTTTAGATGAGTTGCTAATTTCACTTAGAATTGAAGAAAAACATAGAGAGACTCAAAAAGATAAATCAAGTTTAGAAAAACAAAACAAGGCACTTCTAGTAGAGAATCAAACTTTTAAGCCAAAACCCAAAAATTTCAAAAATAAAAATTTTCATAAACATGCAAATTTCAGTAAACAATATGGAAACAAAAATAAAAAATATCAAAAATCTTGCTGGGTATGTAGGAAGACCAATCATTATGCAAAAGATTGCTACCACCGTAAGGGTCAACCGAATAGAGATCGTGGTCATCAAGCTACTCCCAAGTCTCAAGTCAATGTGGTGACTATAGGGGATTCAATGACTGGTCCTAGTAACAGGTATATTTCGAATAGTTCCGAAGTAAATACAATATATCAAACAAATGATTGGTGGATTGATTCTGGGACTAATATTCATATGTGTTCTGATAAGTCATTGTTTTCCTCTTATAAGGAGTCAGACACTAGAACTGTGAGTATGGGCAATGGTAGCATCACTAGTGTGCTTGGAGAAGGACGTGTTAGTCTTAAGTTTACTTTGGGAAAGACTCTTACATTGGATGGTGTCAAGCATGTGCCTGGTATAAGAAAAAATTTAGTCAGTGGGTCCTTGCTAGTTCAACATGACTATCGAGTTGTATTCGAGTCTAATAAGGTTGTAATTAATAAGAGTAGTTTGTTTGTTGGTAAGGGTTATTTGTGTGAAGGCCTTTTTAAGTTAAATGAAATTTTTTTAATCCTAATGATAATAAAGGTTCTTACTCAATGGTTTATCAAGTTGAAAATTCGAGTGTGTGGCATGAAAAATTAGGCCATGTAAATTATCATACCATGAAAAGAATGATGAGTTTAGAATTAATCCCTAAATATGAAATTAAAATTCAAGGAAAATGTGAAATTTGTGTTCAAGCAAAACAACCTTGAAAGCCTTTCAAATTGGTAGTTAGAGAAACCAAATTGCTTGAATTGATTCATAGCGATGTTTGTGATTTAAATAATATCTTGACACATGGTGGAAAAAGATACTTTGTAAATTTTATAGATGATTATTCAAAATATTTTTATATATATTTATTAAGGACGAAAGATGAAGTATTTGAAATTTTTAAAATTTATAAATCAAAAGTAGAAAATCAACAAGAGAAGAAAATAAAAATATTAAGCTCGGATAAAGGAGGTGAATATAAACCTATTGAAATGGTAGAATATTTTGAAAATCATGAAATTATTCATCAAGAGACATTTTCATTCTCACCTAAATCTAATGGAGCAACAGAAAGGGAAAATAGGACATTATTAGACATGGTAAATGTGATGCTTTCTAGTTCTGGTTTAGCAAATAATTTATGGGGTGAAGCTTTGTTTTCAGCATGTTATATATTAAATCGTGTACCTTATAAAAATTATGATGACACTCCTTATGAATTGTGGAAAGGTAGAAAATCAAATTTAAAATACCTTAAAGTGTGGGGGTGTCTAGTTAAAGTGAATGTTCCAAAGAATAAAAAACGAAAGCTTGGACCTAAAACCGTTGATTGTGTTTTTATAGGCTATGCGTTAAAAAGTGTTGGATACAGATTTTTAGTTATTAAATCAAAAATTTCAGATATTATTGTTAATACTATTATGGAGTCACGTGATGTTGTATTTTTTGAGAACATTTTTCCTTTGAAAGATCAAATTCCAAAGCAAATTAGTGAAAATGCCGCTAGGAAGCTTTTAGCAAACAATCAAAATAATGAAGAACCTAGGAGGTGTAAGAGAAAAAGAGTTGAAAAGAATTTTGGTGAAGATTTTTACACTTTTATAGTACAAGAAGATCCTAAGACATATAATGAAGCAATGACATCTATTGATGCACCTTTTTGGAGAGAAGCAATAGACAGTGAAATGAATTCTATTATGTGTAGTAGGACTTGGGTATTAACAGATTTGCCTCATGGTAGTAGACCGATAGGTTGTAAATGGATATTTAGGAAAAAATTGAGAACGGATGGATCTATAGAAAAATTCAAAGCAAGATTGGTTGCTAAAGGGTTTAATAAAAAGAAAGGAATTGACTTTTTTGATACCTATTCTCCTGTAACAAGAATAACAACCATAAGAGTTTTAATGATCATTGCTTCAATCTATAACTTAGAAATTCATCAAATGGACGTTAAAACTGCATTTTTGAATGGTGATTTAGACAAGGAGATTTATATAGAGCAACTCGAAGGATTTGTAGTACCAAGTCAAGAAAATAAAGTGTGTAAGTTGGTCAAATCTCTTTGTGGTTTAAAATAGACTCCTAAACAATGGTATGAAAAATTTGATAAAGTAATACTCTCAAATGGTTTCGTTATAAATGATTCAGATAAATGTCTTTATTCTAAAATAACTGAGAATGGGTGTATAATACTTTGTCTCTATGTGGATGACATTTTGATTTGTAGATCCAATTAATATGTGATTTAATTTGTGAAACTAAAAATATGCTTTCAAATAATTTTGATATGAAGGACTTGGGCCTTGTTGATGTTATATAGGGAATAAAATTAATAAGAAATAAAGATGAGATTATTTTAACCCAATCTCATTATGTTGAAAAATTGTTGAAAAAATTTAGTTATTTTGAGTATAAACCAGTGAACACACCATATGATCCACATGTACACCTAAAGAAAAATTTAGGTGAAAGTGTATCACAAAAAAAATATTCACATGTTATTGGATCATTAATGTATTTAACCAATTGCACTAGGCCTGATATTGCTTATGTCGTCAATAGGCTAAGTAGATATACTTCTAATCCCAATCAAGAACATTAGAAAGCTATTGAAAGAGTATTTCGATATTTAAAAGGTACATTAAATTATGGTCTTCATTTTCCAGGGTACCCAGCAGTATTTGAAGGATTCAGTTATGCTAATTGGATCTCGGATTCGTATGAAACTAAAGCTACTAGTGGCTATGTTTTTATGTTTGGTGATGGAGTTATGGGTTGGAAGTCAACGAAGCAGATTATTATATCTCAGTCAACAATGGAAGCAGAGTTTATTTCATTAGATTCAACTGCAACAGAAGTTGAATGGCTCAAGTGTCTATTATCAGATATATCTCTTGGCAGTAAGTCTATTCCGTCAATTTCTCTACATTGTGACAATCAAGCTACAATTGCTAAGGCAAAGAATTCCAATTACAATGAAAAAAGGAGGCTTATACGGATCCATCATATCAAACAATTGCTTACTCAAGGAGAAATTGCACTTGACTTTGTGAGGTCCGAAAATAATTTGGCGGACCATCTTACTAAAGGGCTAGCGAAGAGGTTAGTTCAAGATTCGTCAAGGAAAATGGGATTGAAGCCTATAAGTTAGTCAGTGCAGTGGACACCTAACCTCTGTGATTGGAGATCTCATGAAGGAGGTTCAATAGGTAAGAACGAAACCATAACACGACTATGTTGAGCACTAAAATTGTAACAAGGGAAATTCCCTAATCCCATTTCTAAGGTGATAGTGCTCTAAACTATGATGGTGATAAGGAGGAGTACATCTCTTATTGAGCCCAAGGCATGATTCTGCAAGGTGTTGGTCACAGAACATCCTTGGAGGGTTCACCTATATGTGTGTTTGTAGTGAGACCGCTACTATGGGATGCAAGCTAATCCCAAATGAAACACTCATGAAAATCAAGATACTCGCGCATGGCCGTAAGAACGCAAAACTAATTAGAACTTGATCTAATATATGTACCGTGTGTGTAACCAGTAGAAACCTGAATTAAAGAGCCTAGATCAAGATTCATTCACTATGGTTCTTCAGATGGAAGCTCGTTAACTCTAAGTGAAGGTTCAAGTCTGTAAGACACCTATCACCTACTGCATGGTATTGTTGCCTAATTTTTTTTTATTTAATTTTAAATCATGTGGGAGATTGTTAGTATATTTGATTTAAAATTAAATTTATTCTCATTTATTTATATTAATAATTTCAACCCCACATTTATTTTATGATTATGATTTTAAATGATTTTAATTTTTGATTGTTGAAATTCTTTAGGAGGAGTTATAACTACATATATCATTAATATATATATATGAGGACTAGTCGTTGAAGCCATATATCCCATATATTTATATAGCTTTAAAAGAATAATGGCAATCCATTAATGTATAAATGGACATGTGTTCTATCTTTCTTTGATATAGAGAAACAACTCTCATATACACATTCTCCTTCATTCTTTACTAGTTTTGGTGTATTTTGTGGGTAACTTGGGTGAGATCAGTTCGCTATAGAGAGGTTTACGCTTACATTTTAACTTCTCTCGGATTGTTATATCTCTAAAAAAGAAAGTCGAAAAACTCTGTGCGGAGAGAACGTATATTTTCTTAAGACAGCGTTCATCTCGCGCCTCAATCCAGACTATTCTAAACTTATTTTTTATCTAAGCTCCATTGAGTTTATTTGATATATTTGCATCTATATGAATCTATGATTTCAGTTCAAAAAAAAAAAATCTATGATTTTATTTATATTTATTTTTCCTAACACTCTGAACATTTTGGCTTTTGGGAATTTAATTGACTGTTTGTGTAGAGAAGGATTGTTTCATGAGGTTTTCAAGATTGCTGAGGACATGCCTCAAGGGAAGAGTGTCTTTGACGAGTTTGCTTACGGGCAAATGATAGATTCATTTTGTAGATATGGAAGATACAATGGGGCTGCAAGGATTGTTTACATGATGAGGAAGAGAGGGTGTACGCCGAGCTTAGTGGCGTATAATTCTATTGTCCATGGGCTCAGCGAGGATGATTGTATGAGGGCTTATCAATTGTTGGAAGAAGGGAAAAAGTTCGGGTACTTGCCCTCGGAGTTTACTTACAAGGTTTTGATGGAGGGTCTTTGCAGAGAATGCGACCTTTGCAAGGTCAGGAAGTTCTTAAAATAATGTTGAATAAGAAAGGTGTGGATAAAACTAGAATTTACAATATATATTTGAGGGCCCTTTCTCTTACGAATAACTCGACTGAGCTTCTTAATGTACTTGTTTTCATGCTTCAGACTGAATGCCAGCCTGATGTTATTACCCTCAACACAGTTATCAATGGTTTCTGCAAGATGGGGAGAATTGAAGAGTCTTTAAAAGTATTTCATGATATGATGACTGGGAAGTTCTGTCCACCTGATGTGGTGACCTTCACTGCTATTANATAGTATTTCATGATATGATGACGGGGAAGTTCTGTCCACCTGATATGGTGACCTTCACTTCTATTATATGTGGGCTGTTGAACATTGGAAGAACCGAAGAAGCTTTTGATCTATTGCATAATGTTATGCCTAAAAAGGGTCGTAGTCCTGGTGTTGTGACTTATAATGCAGTTATCCGAGGCTTGTTTCGATTACGTCGGGCAGATGATGCTATGGAGGTTTTTAATGGCATGGTGAGGGGTGGTGGGGTTGCCAACAGTACTACGTACACAGTTATAATTGATGGATTGTGCGAGTCTGACCAAATACCTGAAGCTAAGAGACTCTGGGATGAGGTTATCTGGACCTCAAAGGTTCATGATAATTTTGTCTATGCAGCTATGAATTTTGATTTCCGGTTAAATTCATTTTGGTTCTATGCCAATGATTCACCCTTGCCCCCAAAGAGAAAAAAATACTTATAATTGTTGTCTCTATAACATATCTTCACCTTTGGAGGATGCTGTTCCAGATAACTTACTTTTAAGTGGATAGAGCCACAAATTTTCTTCCCAACAATGCAAGTCTCATGTTGTATCTCGATCCATCCATAAACTAACAATATAGAAAGATACCATCTCTTACTCTTCCAGCTATTGGTATAACTTTCCATATTTTATATCTTGAGTTGCAGATGGTGCTTTTTCACATATCCATTTTAATTACGTCAAAATAAAAAAACAAAAATGCACAAACTATCAATTTTCGAAAAGAAAAAGCAAAAGAAAAGAGGGCAAGACCATAGTCATTGCCACTGTTCTTTATAAGAATGCCTGCTGATTTTGGTACCTGTTGAACAGTTTAGTAGTGTGATGTGTACCATTTGGGTATTCTTATGCCTTTCTCCCGTGGTGAACACTTGGAGACTTTGCTATGGAGGTTCCTATGAAATTTTCTTACTTGATTTGTATGGGGAGATGGTAATCTGAACAAACTCGTGAAAAGGTTGGGTCTTTATTGGAAAAACTTATTTTATCCTGCTTCCAAGAATTTGTCTTAAGCATCAACTTTTTCATTGTTTTTTGGTTCATTCTGATTATTCTCCTTCCATGTTTCTGATAGTGAGTTTTTCAGCCAAAGTAATGAGGGTCTATGTTGGTGGTGGTTGAATCTCTAGTGTTTTTGGTCAAGGAATTGATTGACTTCTGTAGGTTTGATTTCATTTCTTGAGCTTCTATCTGCTTTGAACTTGTAATTCTGCTGTCCCCCATTCTCTTTGTCTGGAATTGTACTTTGTTTGACACATCTATTTAGTTCTTGAATAATCGAACTTTGCCTATTTATTTTAATTCAGCAATTTGACATTTTACAGTTCTGTTACAGTCCAGGATTTTTTCATATCTTTGTAATTCTATATATATATTTTTTTTAAGAGAAGTGGTAAGTTTTTTTTTAATCGAATGTTGGAAATAAGGAGCGGCATAATAAACTCAGGTGTCTGCCCCTGCCAAACAAATACATTATCAATGAGATTGGCATGTTGAGGTAACCTAGTTGCCACCCTATTGCCATGTCTATTGACAATCGCCACTTCGTAATTACGGAATTTCCGTAAAACCAGTAGAAGAAGTCACATCTCTTGATTCTTTGAATATCTTCAAAACATTGGGTAAGTCTCCTTCAATGATTATCTCATCAAACACCTGTTGCTGTGAAAAGAGAATGGCTTCACTCATTCCATACAAACCAGCTGCTTGAGTTCTTCCTTGATCTGCCCAAGTTACATCCATTTTCTTTGAGAGGCCAGCCATAAACATTCCCAGTTCATTCCTAATGACAACTCCTATGCCATAGGTTTGGCCTAAATCCATAACAAACACACTGAAATTAACCTTAAATATACCTGCTTTGGGAGGAATCCATACGGCTGTAGCTTTTGAAACTGCAGGGGGGTGGACGATCATTTGATGCCCTTGTCTCTAGTGCCTCTTGTATTTTTTTTAAGTATACTCTCGCGCAACTTGTGTAATTCCCACTGGATTGGTTGAGATACCCAGGTTAACTTCCTTTGATTGAAAACCAAACCTTGGTCTCATCCATTACCATTAGTAGCTAGAGAACGAATCCCGGTTTGGAACTAAATAATCCAGTAAAAACGGAATCAGAGAATTATCCTATTGATTTTGAACCAACCTCACCTCGCATAGATCACGCCGACCTACCCATCCCATGTGTGTGGGTGCCCCGTTCATCTCCCCTTTGAATTTTGAAATAGGATGGATATAAGGGTATCTTTCATTATTTTAGTCTATGTCTATTACTTGACTTCTGAGTCAAGAGTTCCCTGGCAATCCGAACTAAGGAGAAAGAGCAAGCAATGCGTCCTCGCTTGAAAGGACTAGGGGTCAAGTTTCAGTTTGATTCTCAAAGAAGGGTAAAAGGGCAGCCTATTTTACTTCTTACTAAACCAGTTATTTTTTCAGTATACTTCTTCCATACTCTCTCTCTCATACCGCTGAAAACTTCTCTTTTAGACTGATCCACTATGGTTGGTAAACCTAAGTATTTGTCAATGTGCTTGAACAAGCTGCACCCCAAAAATTGCTTGAAGTTTTTTTGCTTTTTCCATAGCAGCAATTTTACTGCACACCATCGCTGACTTCTCTAGATTAACTTTCTGCCTTGAAGCCAAGTCATAAGTCTCTAGAATTTTCTGAACTTCTCTTGCCTCAGAAGTAGAAGCATTAAATGCTAATTATCTATGTTAGCCGCCTATTTGGTTCTAAATATTATTTTCATCTTGGTCGATTTTGATACGTTCAAGAGTATGAGAATGCATTAAAATTTTCTGATATGCAGTTATGGGAGTTGACCAAGTTGATATGCTGTTTTGAATTGAAATTGACTTTGGAACTCAAGCCCATGACTTTTTGAATGTTAATATATAATTATACATACTCAAATAGTTTATTTATATTTATTTTATATTTGAGATAAGAGTTCTACATTACGAGTTAAGGTTAAACTGTGGGAATAGGGTTACAATTTCAGGTTACTTGGATCGTGGGTGGATTTGAAGTTAGGTTTGCAATTTAGGGCAAACATTTTGAACAATCTAGGTCACGAACCTAGAGAATGTTTGGGTTCGTGCAACCCGGATTGTGTGATGTAAGGTTGACTTACGACATCGGTTTCCACTATCCTATTAGCTGAAGGAAGATTTGAAGGTCATTCGTCTTCCATATCTGATGATCAATGGAGCTTTTGATTTTCAGCCTTACCATTAACAATAATCTGCATAGTCGGTCTATACGTTGGAGGTATTTTTTATATTTTTTAATGTTAAAGTATTATTTTATTCGTTTGTTGTAACGTGTGTTGTTAACATTCGACGTGAATCATATTGTTCTAGATAAATAAAGATTGTCGACGAACGACTTGATTTAAAGGTTCACAAACGATTCAATTTAAAGGTTGACAAACGACTCAATTTGCACCCTCAATATTATGCATTAGTAGTAATGTAGACTTCGCCAAGACTGTTGTTTAGCTTTCTTTTATAAATTGAAGTACATGAGTTGCAAGTGCTTCGGACGTGAGCATGAAGTGTATCCATCATTACAAATCTTTATTTGCAATTAATTTGATATCATTTTATGTATCGAAAATAAGGTTTTTTTAATCAAATAGAAACTAGGCCTATCATGTGCAATTTTCATGAGGTGCAGTATGTAAAATTTGACCAAAAAAAAAAACAGTCTATGAATTTATGCATAAGTCCATAACCAACGACTGCACTTGCGGAGTAGTCCTACACACAAAACAAAGTAAACAAATGAGTTCTACCTTGGTTGCAGATCTTATAGTTGGTCACAAGCCAAACATATGACAACATGTGTAATTGAAGTCATTAGCCATTTATGTCCGGACTATGGTGGGGCAATCACATATGATCATGCATGGTTGGGTGTGGAGAAAGCAACGGTATACTTTTCGAGGATCACTAGTTATCTTACAATTAGCTATCGTAGTACATCGTGGTTTCCAAGAGTACCAATTCAAGTAGTCATAGAAGGTTAGATTGTGAACCCGACAATAAATGTTTTCGGAGGTTGTTCATCGCATTTAAGACTTGTATCCATGAATTTAAATTATATTGTTCGATGTTTATTGACAAAACATTCTTGAAAGGGAGTTACAATATTTTTAACAATATCCATGGATTTAGATTGTGTGTCGTCTTTCCCTAAAGCTAGCAGAAAATATTTTTCTTTTTTAAAATTTTACTGTCCAAAAAATCCCTAACAATCTCCTCATAGAATGAGTATAAGTAAATGACATAGTCAAAACCAAACTCAATGTACATCACATCTATCATGTCAGACTCAAAGTAGTAATCATCAAATCATCAACACGTCAAACTAATTTGATTCTGAATCACTTGTTTACCTGAACACACTCAACACACCCGTGAAAACGCATGGATATATATATGAAATAATCAAGACTCACAAGTTTGGAATGTAAGCCACAAATTCACAAACACACCACACATGAAATACACATTTATATGAAGTAAATCTGTGTGCGCGCGCATATATTTGTTTTCCCTAGTTAAACTTAGCATAAACAATTTACTCCCCTATTTCCTTGTCAATGTGTATTAGTCTATCTCCCTATTTTTCTCATGGAATGACAAAAGTAGAAATTACATAGTTGATTTAAACAAGAAAGCATATCATGATATCAATAATACTCAAAGAAACACATAAATCTTAAACAATAACATAGAAACAAATTCAACTCAATCATCATACATATAACCCAAAAATATTTTGAGTTTGATTACAAAAGGAGCAAACACATCAAAAAGAAAAAACAAACGCATACCAGATATCCCTGCGTCTAAGGGATCGGATCACCCAATAATCCCTCAACCTCAAAGTAGATGTTCTCTATGGTGCTAGTTTCTGATCGCTGCTCTAAGGCTCTAATTTTCTCTCCATGGGATGCAACTCTCCTTTTAATAGCAGTGATCCTCTCAAATAATCCTCTCCCCATCTCTTCTAGCGTCCCAAAGACTTGATCTTGCATCCTGGTCAAAATTGTAGCCTTATCAACTAGAGGGTCATCCAATAGAGGTGGAGGTAGACGTTGGGAGCCTTTGCTGCAGCATCTCCCTGCGGTGCTCATTGGGCTAAGTCACCGTGATCAGGCATAGGTGGGATATCAGCTTGGTTTGGCTGTGGTTGCTGCTATTTGGACTACCCCAACTATTGAGCTCGGTGATGCCTATCCTCCAGAACAAGTGTATCATTCAAGGGGAGAATGGAGCTATCGATGGAACTAATAGGTTGAAGAATCTCATCACTAGGTACTGTATTTAGTTCCCTCACAAGTATCAATCGATTGATAAAACACTTGATGGAGTAATACACGTGAGTGACATTCGATCCTTTCAAATGAGCCTAGAAATCCAAAATGGAAGATCTATAGTGGCTCCTATGTATAGGGCACATACCAATCTCGCCTCCTCCTGTCTTGTGGTCGATATGTGACAGCAGGGTGAGATCACACTAGTATCCTATGTAGTAGTCTGAAGGGAGGTGTGAGAATTTATATTCATCACTGTACGTACAACCCATTAAGCAACCTCGCCTCTCAAAGGCTAGCAACTAAATAAAAATCAAGCTGATGAGCATCACCTATGGGTGGATACTGGGGATATTGTACCCTCGATAGTCTGAAGTGCTCCACAAACCCATTTCTGAAGTACAAAGGAGTCCTCGACAAACCACTTGTCTGCAAAACTCATGCACAACACTAACTATCGTGACACCTGGAGCTGCGAACATCTCAAGCCACTGCCTCTTGACAAATGTGGAAATGGCTCTCGAATAGGGCAAGTCCTCAAAGTTGACAAGACACTGAATGAGAACTGACCTCCTGGCGAACACAGTGTGAGTCTCAACATAAGACTCCTCCGGAAACTAATGGGTTGGGACTGCGTCTCATTGCGTGCAAGCCCTCTTGGCAACTTTTGGTGCCATATCTATGATCTAAGTAACAGGCTAGAACCTAAGGAGAATAGTTACGGTGGCTTTGGAAGAGATTTGGAAAGAAATGAGAGTTGTGGAGAAGAAATGAGCTAGAACGCATGTTTTATAGAGGTTGGTGACCATCAATATTCCAGATTTGCTTGAGCAAGACTGTTTCCACTTCAGCACACCATAATGCAAACATTATTTAGCATGCAATGCACAATCCGAATAGTATTTAATATACAAGAATATAAAATCAAACAATGTATAAGATTAATCTTGGACCTCATACTAATAATTAATTTGATCAAACAATTTGCTCTCAGAAAATTTAAGAACCAATGATACATATATTCCAAAGAGCATTTATCAAGTCAAAGTCCTATTTGTATAGTCATTTAAGACAGAATCTAAAAGAACAATCTAAATCCACATGTTAAATGATTGATGAGTGCACAATATTGAATATTTTATGTCTCATATAATTCATTTTAGTTTTACTTATTAGCTATATGTTTTGTTTTAGTTTAGTTTTGGTTTTATGAGGAATTTTTGTATTTGCAGGTGATTTAAGGTAAAAACAACATTTTGCATTCATTTTTTATGTTTTGGAAGACTTTGGGAATGAACTAGGGGAGCTAGACTTGAAGCTAGGAGCATTGCAGTTCAATTTCAGAAAAGTGAAGTTCTACTGGTAGGTTTTCTACCAGTTCATTAGGTGTCAAGCAGCAGACCTACCGGTAGCTGTGAAGTGCTACTAGTTCATTCATGTTTAACCTATCGGTTCATCTGAAACATAAAGTTTGCTACTAGTTCATTGATACTAAGCTACTGGTAGATTTGAACAATAACTTTGCTAGTGATAGGTCGGGACCTGCTTCCTACCCGTTCATCAGTATTTTATTTCAGCAGGGGCTCCTTTGGAAAGTCTATCGGCTGGGGATTTTAAAGGGCATCTATTGGTAGAAAAAGAGAAAGAAATTTAGTTGATTATTCCATATAAAAACCAGAGCTGAGCAAGGGAGAGGGGATCGATCCTATACTACTTTTTACACATTTTTTCTTTTCTTCTCTCCAACCTTAGTAGCTAGGGTTTTTCTTTAGGTTTTCTAACAGTTCTTCAATGTTTTTTCTTCTTTTATATTTACAAAGTATTGTCTTTCTTTAGTTCTTTAATTATCGCAAGCAGAGTACGTTGATTATATTTTTTGTAACCGTTTATAGTTTTCATCTCAATACAAGGCATTTGGTTGATTTCAATTCAAGTTCAATTTCTCTTTTGATTATGATCATGTCTTTAATAATTGCTTTTAGTTTTACTTTCGCCATGAGTGAGTAGTCAATTTCCTGTATGATCGGATGAGAGATTCTCATCCGTAAATATGTAGTTTGATCTAATTAGGATTTTTAATGTTAAAGTAATTTTATTAATTGAACAATTGATTTTAAAAACATAGTTAATATGTATATCTCTTTACTTATCCATAGACAATTAGGTTTGACATTGACAATTCTTGGAATCACAGTAATCAACATGAATGTAAAGACATGATCATACATAAATTGTTGGGGGGGGGGGGGGG